TAGCTAAAACTACTAAACCCGATGGTACAAACAATAGCTTACCAACTTTAGTTTATTGTATTATCAAACATTTTAGGGTCCGTTTCATTGTAAGGGTGGAAAATGGGTGGAAAGAAAATGAATTTTAGGGAAAATAATTGTCTAGAAAATGTTTTGTAGGGAATTATTAATTAGTTGCGTTTGATTGGTATAATTTTCCATCCAGAAAATGTTGAGATTTTTCATCTTTTAGTGTTTGATTGGCTTTGATTTCCATGGAAAATTATGATTATTTGTGCGAAACTATCGAAGTTAACAAAAATGTTCCGACAACATCCATTCATCCTCCAGCATCAACGCCGCCTGCGCCTCCCAGCCTCCTCCTACTCCAACAACTTCTCCACCACCTGCAAGCCCAACTCTCCGCCACTTGTTTTGATTATTTTCCTCTCCATCCTCTAAGATTAATTCTAAGTCTTTTCCCATCCATCGACACTCAAATAAACTTTGGTTCATTTCACGCTCCAAACTTGCCGTTTTCACCAAGTTACCTAACCCGTAAAATAACACGAACACACACATCAAAACGTTCTAACTTACTCAAAGACAACCAAAATATTAAGTTTAAGTGACATTAAACAATGAGTGAAACTCATTCATCAAAAACAATTAGGGCTACACCGTCATGTGCTCAATACAAATTTAATTCATAGCCTTTTGTTCATTTATAACATTTTTGGTACTTCAGATCAAACAACGTCAAATGAATAAAAAAAAAAAATTAAAATATCATGCGTCATCCTCTACTATCCAATATGGTGTAACAAATAATCTCATAGTCTTCGGTACCTTGAGCAGTGCAGATTTTGCAATAGACCACAAAAGACAGAAATCATACAAATTAGATGATGAATAAGTTACATCTATTATAAAGCAAAGTAGACAGAGCCTATAAAGCTGTCAAAAATAGAAAAATAGATAAAAATTAACATACTATCGAGTTCAATGTGAAAGCCGTAAAAGAACTAGGTGTCTTCACTTTGTAACATAACTCTCCCATCTTAATGTCTGGTCAGCAAGACCCTCTCCATCAACTAGTTTTTCCGGATTTGCACATAGAGGTACCAGCCAGATCCGGCTTGACTCAACTCGACTCAAAATTTTTTGATGGAATGTGACGCAATATTGGCACAACAAAAGACCAAGACCAAGACCAACACAGATCGGACTTATAACCACACCAACAAAAAGATTTAAAAAGTCCAAGTGGATCGACCCATGTACTTAGAGAGTCAAGCCAAACACAGTCTATCTCTCCGTATGGGCCGGGGGTCTAACACACCTTTATATTTGGTCTTTTTAAGACAATCTAACCTCATTTTCTTGTGTTGTTCACACAATCAACTAAGCCGGTTTTATAACTGCACTTACAAATGAAGAACAGCTAAACACTTTACACAGTAATGACATGGTGCTACTGTACATCCACATTTAGTTGTAGGCTAGGCAACAACTTCGTACACATACTAAATATTTAGAATGAAAAAGTGGGAAGCATTAGCAAATGGAAGTCAGGGTGGAGCCATAATGTAATTAGGTCATGTAAATGCCATATCATATTGGTGAAAAGAATTCTACATCCGAAGACAAATACTGGGATGAGATGGTGTGGCTGAGCGTGTAGGGTCCAAAATGAGGCTCAAGCCTGAGCTGCTAAGAAGGTATTTGGTAGGTTAAGTTTGAGATAAGAGAACGACCATTCACAGTAGACACAGTCATTTGGTGGTTGCCGCACTAAGAATATCTTCACGAAAATATCCAAATACAAAATATTCCTTACTTCCAAGAATTAATGCTTAAAAATAAACTCTAACGGACTCTATTCTAAAAGGAGTTTGACTATCCAAATTTAGAGAGTCAAATTCACTCTCTATTCTTAATTTACAATAGTTGTATTTAATAAGTCATATATTTTAACAACCTTGCTACATTTACCCTTTGATTTACATTTTGATTTACCCCACCCCACCCCTTCCCTCACATGTGGTCGGGTCCCACGCATTTATTGGATGTGTGACCCGACCCCCATGTGAGGGATGAGGTAGGATCGGATAAACCAAAGTGTAAATCAAAGGGTACAAATAACTTAATTCATATTTTAATACTCTACTTCTTAAGTTATTCAAATCTCATTTGAATTGATTGATCATTAACATATAAAACAATATGTTAAATAAAATACAAGGAGAAATTTATAAATATTTCTTGAAAAAAAAATGAAGAGTCAAAAGAGAGAGTATTGTTGAAGTGTATAAAAAAATTTACTCTTTATCGTGCATAAGATGCTTCTTGTAAGAGTTTCTTGGAGACAGGGGCGGACCCAGATAAATTTTTGAGTGGGGGCGAAGCCAGCTCGTTGAAGTAGGGGGGG